CACTGGAAGGCTGCCTGGGATGGTTGTGGAGGCTCCATCGCTGGAAGCATTTAAGAACAGGGTAGAAAAATGCCATAGGTACTATTGATCCTCTGTTGGGAGGAAACGGAGGAGATGTTTTTTGAAATCCTTACTGGTCATCTTACATAATTCGGTTTCTTACAACCATAAATATATAAGAAGCATTGTAAAACACTTAGCATACCGTTTCAGAGGGTGTAGGTGTTTTTCACTTATTTTTAGAACTTGACCTTACAAGACTGAAAAATAACTTTTTCCTTCTGACTTTTGTCCTCCACTTGGCAAAAATTAGTTAAAAACACAGAGATGGAAAATATTTAAACTTTAAACTAGTATGAGCTTTTCTTTTTGTTGTTTGTTTGTGTGCTGGTTTCATTTGTGATGTCAACTCCAGTCAGGGAAAAAGGTGTAACTAACCTGGCACTGCACTGAGTGCAAAACCACTTTTACACTGAAGCCCAAATAAACACTATTTACTGCTCACTTTTTTTTTTTTTCTAATCAGTAATGCTTAAAAAATGATACTGACAAATCTGGAAGATGTTTCGCCATCAGATAATAACAAGTTCAGATAGATAGGCTACTTTTGAATTTGTCCTTTTTAAACAGACACAGGCACCCAGAAATAACCAAGTCATGACCAAACACCTTCTGATCTGCTACCGTGTGTTTAAGCTGCATTAGAGTAGTGATTTACAGGGATTTCTAGCCCTTAGATCTGAATATAGAAAGGTATAAAATGAGTCCAAGGAAAATAAAGGTAGGAATGACCTCACCTTGTGGAGACACTGTGTCTTGCTCAACTCAAGAAGGCTCTGTAGAAAGGAGCTACATTTTAATTTGTACAGTTATTTTGTGATGGTCAGTGGATAGAAATGGTCTCAGAAACTCTTGCAGACTAAAGAGAAATGGCTTCAGCTTTCTAGGAGAATGTAAAGACATATTGATCGCTGCCTTAATATGCAGAAGACTTACTTGTTCAAATATTTAAAATTGGCGTAATGCAGATTTAATATGCTTTGGTTCATTTCATTTAGAGTAAGTGAGCAATAATAAGCACCATTCTGTCTCTCTGTTGGAGAACTTGCACCTTCTAAGTTCTCTTGTGCTGCAACACCTCAGCTAACTGCAGCATTACTTGGAAGTAACATGTATATGCTCCTTGTCAGCCAGTTCAGTATACTGCCCAGCCTCCACTAATAAATCCATTATTAGTGACTCTCTTTCAGAGGAGAACAGAGACAGTGCAGTACTTGCAGATCGTCTGCTTTGCAGATTGTCCACATTACCAAAGTTCTCTTCTTCTCTTCCCTGTGAAGAGATCCAGGTTCGCTGCCGGTAGCCCTGAATGTTTTAAATACTTTGGTGGCTTGCAGCTTGTCCATACAAGGTATTCTTCAGAAGAGAGGAGGTCACTCTTTTCCTTTTGTCCTTTGTGTCACTCTTTTCCTTTTGTCCTTTTTGTCCTCCTGTGACGCCAGGAGCTTGGGAGTTTTCTTCTTTTTAACGTCAATTCTTAGAGTTTCTTCAGTCCATAGTAAAAACAAAGAAAATGATCTAGCTCTCTATAATATGGTTTTGATGAGTTAATTTGGATGTTAAGCAATAGGTATATTAGAAAATACAGTGAATTTCACATATAATGTGTTCACCAGTTTATGGTATTATAAAAGGGTACGTGATTGTGGGCAGCTGACAGTGCCCAGAAAAATGCTGAACTCCGTACAGAGGAAGCAGGACTCTTCTTGACAGTCTTCAGGAGCTCTTCCTGGGTACAAATACCGCTCCCTTGCTGGCGGGGGGTCACACTGGTTTACAAGCCAATTGCACATGGTCTCAGGAATGGTTGTTTCTCATCAGCCTACTACCTCGTCTCAAAACCTGGCGGATTTTGGCCCCTGAAAACTTCAGAAACACAGAAATATCCGGTTAGCTGGATATTGGACTTTCAAACAACCTTTTTATTAGGTGTCTGGCTTTAAGGTTTTTTTTAAATATGGGTTGGTTTGGTTTTATGTCCTGATATCATTGAGTAATACTTTACTTAGATAGCAGAAAACATCATTACTGCTCATACATATTTTATTTGCCTTGTATTGAATAGTTCCTTTTTTATTTTAATTTTTTTTGGTAGTACTAGGATTTTGATTGTCTCACCTTTCTATAGGGACATCTGTTTCTCCATACAAAGCAAATCTGATGTCAGTTGTTTCCAAGGTGACCTCACAAGTGACCCTTGTCCATTCTTCATTCCATGTGAGTTACATCTCTTTCTTTCTGGACTTTTATGACTTCTCCCCACTTGAAAAAAACAGATTTCTTCTGAATAGTTGGCAAGAATCTTCCTTTATTAATGACTTATCAGGCTTCTGTTGAAGTAATATGCTTTTCCCTTAAAACTCTCTACTACCATAACAGGTACCGATGGCCTTCCTTGCTTGCCATTTAGCGGGGTCCTGGACTGAGCAGCCTACAAAGGCCGAATGCCTCTCTCACCTCTCGACAAGAGCATCTTCAAACATAAGCTGGACAGACATCAACTGTCACTGTTTCAGATGCAAGACTTGGTCTCTCTGGGATGGGTGATGGGGCGTTTTTCATTCACTCCCCATTTGTTGCTGTAAAATAGAAATTGTAAATAATATTTCCCAGAACATCATTGGAAAACCCAGTATATTTTATCTTTAATAATCAGTTGCCATGGGTTTGATTTGTCCAGAAGGACACAGAAATGCTAAATCCTGGGAAACTCAGTTGTTCTGAGTTGTAGTTAGACCACTTTTGCTTACCAAACTTATCAAACCCTCCAACCTGATTTACCCGTGGGTTGACAGCAAAAAGTCACTTGCTGTGTGTAACATGAGGTAGCACGTGCATCAGACAAGCAGGATCATACAAATGCCACCTAGATAACACATGCAAATTAATTTTATTTTCAGTATAAATTTGCTTGGTGCAAGAAAATGTAAAATCTCTCTGCTGCAGCATTCCTGTAACATAAAAGTAGTAATATTTATTTGCTTACTTTAGTGAACATGCGTGCTCACCAGTGCCTGCAAGACTGCACCCAGTTACCTTCGAGAATGGTGCACAGCCACAGGGATGGGAAGTTTTCTCCTGAACATGGGAGGTCTGAGGTCAAAATGAGAAAAAAATCTTTATGTAAATATCCAAGGATCCTGCTGCTATAACACTTGAAAGACTGAGCTACTGTTTCCTGGGGCTTTCCTGTCTGTGTCCCCAAGGGTGTTGTGTGATCAACAGACTGACAGATTTCAAACTCAAGCAGTGAAAATGTGTGACCAAGAATTTCACTGGTCTTCAAACTAACCTTTTTTACAGGTCACGGTTTAACTTGCAATTTCCTTGATGTAGTAGCTTTAAGATTTTCTTTGGGCAGATTTTCTTTGGCTGCTCTAGATGGATTTCTCAATCCACTCTGTGTCTTCTGATGGAAAGTGCTGGATTGAGACTGACTGATGGAAAATGCTGGATTGAGACTCATTCCTTTGCAGACAAGAAACCGCGAAGTCTACCTTCCTTTCATGCCGTCACTTCTGCACCGCATCCTCCCTTTCGACAAGCCTGGGTGGGGGGGCAATAAGAACATCAGCCTCTAAGGGCTAGTACCTTTGCCCAATCCCTCTCCAAAATAGGATGTGATAGCTCCTCTTTGGAGTTGGAAGACGATTCAATAATTCTACCCCAAGTGTGAGTGGTGAAACTGTCTTTTGGGAGTTTAAAGAGCCTTTTCTGAAATCCTAGTGAAATCCAGATGTCTCATAGCGTTTGTGATCTTGTGAGCAGTTTTAGAAGGAAAATCTGTGAGGGATAGGGCTGTGAATCATCCGTCTATCCTGTGTCCATGAAGATGAAATAAAAACCCCAATCCAAAAAGAATCCATTTAATTCTGGAATTTTCTGACCTATTTTGGTGCAAGCTGGTCTAAAAAAAAATTAAATTACTCTCCTGATGAGTTTCTCATATTGTTTACTTTTGTAACGTTCTCTGTGGACTGGCAGCCAGAAATGACGTCCACCCCTCGTCCAGCATCAGAGAATAAGAACTTCAGAGGAAGGAATGCAACTTCATAAATAGCAAACCACAGACACTAATGGGGAGCAGAGGCAAACCGGCAGGTTAAAAATTCGTTGCAAGAGAAGCCCATACATCCACACTGCCTGGAGATTCAAAGATGATTTCAGCTCTAGCCTTTGTTTTTCTCCTCTGCCTCTCTTGTCCTTTTTCATCATGTCAGCAGAGAAGAGCAGGTAAGTAATTTTAATTATCTCTGTATTTTCTGGACTCATATGCTTCCTAGACTCCTACAAAAATTACGTTTTGCAGAAGGAAATGAGGAAGAAGGTAACATTTCAATTGCATCTACTGAAGCCTAAAAACAATGTTTAAGGGACTTTGTAGTTTTGTATGAAACTTGAAGCTTAACTGTGTAAATGTTCACTCTTAGATTTCTTCCCCAGGTCTCCTGAATAGTGAAATCTTTTTTAAGAAAAACATTTATTCTAGGGCAACTCAAAATTTTGTGGCGTTTTGTAGTGACTTGCAAGAGACACTTCACATTAATCTGCATTTTGCATGTGATTTAAGTTAAAAACCAGATCATACAGAATGTCCTATAGCAGGATCCTTGGATAGTCTCTCTGCTTGTGCACATAGAGCTGAGGGAAGCCCTGATTTCTAGGAATGCTAAGTTCATTACAGAAGTTCCACTTCTCCGAACAGCCCGTTAGGGGAATGCTCAACTTGAAGAGGACCTGTGAGATCCATCAGACTCAGGCTGTGTACCAGAGATTCAGGTGTGTGCTTGCAGAGACAGAGTGAGTCCATGGAGAAGGATGCATAGTAATGGAAATGTCTGCAAGTGCATAGATTTCCTTTGGAAATCGCTCCTGAGTGGTTGAATTTTAATATTTAAAAAAAACCCCAAACTTTTGTTTTAAATTACATCTTGCTACTAGGGATGGAAAATTTTTCCCAGGAATAACGGAAGCAGCCTGAAGCCTTCATGCAAAGCTTATTCAAAACCTCTGTTTGAAGTTAGAATTATGTGCAAGCTCCTTGTTAAAATAAAATAAGAAACGTCACTTTAATTCAGTCTCTCTGTCTCAGAATGACACATTTGTGGTACTTTCAATTTAGTTCCCAAACCAAAATGTGTTGGAGAGATTACAAATATTCATAAAGTCTTCTTGGTTCTGTGCAGGGAAGACCTGTGAGGCTTTCAGACTCATTTGTCATGTGAGAATGCCAAAGTTGTCCTAAATCAGCAGCATGGGCTCACATCCTGCCTTTGGCACTGGCAAATTCTTCACGCTCAGGGAGGCAGACCCCTAACTCCATCGAACTTTCCCCGGAACACACAGGGCTGTTTGCTGTTTGTCTCTTCAGAATGGTTGGCTTGCATTGTAGGCAAGGTGTGACTTCTGTTAGAGGAGCAATTAATCTAGAAAAAACTAGAGAAATGAGATTGTACTTTCTTGTGGCAGACAGAATACCAGAGCTGAACTCTGTGTCCAATTATTTTTAAATGGTTCAAGTTTTCTTAAAACTTACGTAATTCTAGAAACAATGAGCTACTTCTATTCATTCTTCTTGAGCGAAGCTGGAATATAGACTGGATTTTTAGCATGTCTCAGAGGACTAGGCAAGTCTAGAATCTAGCAGATGGGAGGGAAAAGTCATGTTAATCTGCCCTAGATGACCTTGGAAGATGATTTATATCCTCTGTTCACCATAGCTTAAACAGGATTTTGCAACATTGCATGGATGAGCAGATGCATCCTTTGTGTCCCAAAGCCACTACACAGCAATTTGAAACTGCCGCTACCTGAAGAGAACCCGTCTCCAGCAAGAAAAGAGTCTGTACCTTGATAACAGGCGAGGCCACAGCTGATGTGCCCATTTTCCACGTTCAGTGCTTGGCAGCACGTTTGGGCTAGACTCAGCAAAGAGCCTTACCTTAGTGGTTCCCTTCCTAGCAGCTTCCACAGCACTGAATTATTAATTTGCTTCTTTTGGCAGCAAAGCCTTCCTATGTGTGAACTGCAGAGACCATGCCAGGTTAACAGCTACCACAACTGCCAGACTGCCAGGACAATTTGTTTGCTGAGGGGTAGCTGTTACCTACCTGACAGGCATGGCTGATTATCGCTGTCAGCCCTGCCCAGAGCAAATTCTACCCTACGTGCAAGTGTCTCTTAATTCCAGCAAGCTTCTAGTTAGGAACTGGCAGAGTACTGGTGTGGAGGAGTCTGTATCGTTAATATTGAGCTGAAGTTAATAATACCAGTTGGTTTGTACTGCTAATGGCTCTTCTGTGTTTTTCCCAACCACTTTGTTGGGTTTTTAGGAGGTGAAGTTGGGCCAGAAATGCTGGAAGAGATGAGAGAAACTAACCGTGTGCTAATGGAAGTTCGAGACTTGTTGAAACAGCAGGTAGGTGAGAAAGGGCCCTAATTCTTTATATGCCACACACGAGAGATCTCTGAGTCCTCTGCCTTATGTGCTGAGTTCTGGAACTGGGGGGGCTGCTTCTTGCATTGAGTGAAATGAGCAATGGAATTACTGCACTGCAAACCGTAATCGAGAGGTGGTCTCACAATCAGATCGTTAATTCTGAGATAAAGTGGATTCATCTGAGTTCCAAATTCTGCTGCTTAGAACCGTGTCTGCTGAAAACCAGCATAAATAGAGAATGAACTCTTAAAAAAAAAAAAAAAAAAAGAGAGACGTGCACACAGTGGGTATGTATTTAACTGGAAAAACAAGTCACTTTTTCCTTGGTTTTGTGGGCTCATGAAATTGGTAGAGAGTCCAGACTTGGAAGATGGAAGAGACCTTTCAGCCATCTCTTAGGGTCCTGGAAAGGGAAGTCATATGGAGTCTAAACAAGCTCTGCATCTTAGGGAATTTGGAACTTCTTGGGTGCTTAGATCTTTTCCCATTTTAACGAGGAGATGGTGGGTTGTCTGGTCAACTCTCTTTTAAGTATAGAAAAAGGTTCCATTCTCCCTTTATGCACTCCGGGAGCTGAGGGCAGCAGCCTCTGCCTGCCAGATAATTGGAATGGCAGACAGGTCTCTGTGCCAGGGCAAACTGGGCGGCCTCTAATCTGCAAAAACATCTGCTGCATTGAGTTACTCCCACATTTCAGGCTGCTGCATAAATACCCAGTGTTTACTAGGAATCAGGTCAGACATGGTTCCTGGCAGCCTCAGGCAATGATTTCCAGTGTTCCCTTCCAGCTTAGCACTGCCTCTCCATACAGGTTTCCTATTTGTTCTTTCTCTCACTGTTGCCACCTACCTTTTTTTTTTTATCCATGGGCTTTTTCTTAACAGTGCTTTCAAGAAAACTCTTCCTCAGAGGACAAACTCGCATATGCCACTGGAGAGCTGAGGTGGCAGTTCGTAATTTCTTCATCTGTGCAAAGATTTTCTAAAACTGACTTTTCCTTGAGTCAGCATCTTGGGATGTTGGCAATAAGGATGGTAAAAGGTGTAACAACAAAAGGCCAGATCTACTCTCCTGAGCCGAAGGCTGAAGGATGCTTGGCGCAAAGGAACCATTAGCAGTGCTCCGAATTCTCTGCTCTGCTGTCTGTCACCCACTTCTAATGGGAGATGTTCTGGGGATTTGGGTTAGCTCTCTCCCTGCATTAACTATTCAAAACACATGACCCCAGGCCATGTTGGAGGGAAGAGAGAATCTAGCACAGAGTGAAAGCTTGCTCTTACACCTGGTAGCTGGCAGAGACACATGAGTAGAAGTTTTTGTCAAAGTGAAATGGCTTAATTGTGGAAACACGAAGTCCACAGGGTGTGGAAGGGTGGTCCTGAGCATCGGTTGTAGATAGCCATTAAGGCCTTTGCAGGAAAGCAGTCTGCTAGGATTGCTATCTAAGATGCTAGAGAGTCATATAAATGTTAGCTTGAGACTGACGTGCTTACTTGTGCCTGTCCCATATCCCTTTCTTCACCAAAGGAGCGGTGCACTGCCGATGCTACAGATTATTTCTTTACTGAAGCAAGCTTGAAGGAATAGGACCCTCGAGGAGATCAGAGGAAGTCTGGAGGGAGGAGCTTTTGTGAAGAGATTCTAAATATCCTCATGGCAAGGGCATTATGGCCAAATTGTGGCATAAGCAGTGTCAGAGGTTATTTATATATCTGCAAAAATGGCTCGTGGGAAACCTTTTCCTGACTTTGCCCTTGCAGTACCTAGGCTGTAGCTAAAGCAGACCTCTCTAGGACTGCCAGTTCAGCATCTTCTAGAGCAGAAGACCCAAATGAAGTAGATACCTCTTTATGGCACTTGTTTCTGTATGTTCAAGTCAAGTGTCTCCTGCATCTGCGATAAAGTAGTGTTATCGAGTTAGCCCGTAGAAACACTGCAGTAGGGAGTAACTTAGAGCAGAGAATACAAGCCACCTCTGCATACATAAAATCTGCAACACAGACTTTGGGGTAAGAGTTAATTTGGTTGTAAGTAGCTGTGCAGTCTCTGAGAGACACCCTGTTTTCTGGCAGTGGGACTATTAGTTTGCGTGGGAGCAAAATTCAGCCTTTGGCTAAGTGGTGGTTCTTGTTTTCTTCTAGATTAAGGAGATAACATTCCTGAAGAATACAGTCATGGAGTGCGATGCCTGTGGTGAGTTACTGAGCTGAGTCCTATGTTCAGCTGCCTCCTCCAAGTCCTTCATACCTTTGTGTCCAAATGGGTAGTGCCACCTGTGACCACCTCCCCGCAGGAAACAGCTTGTTTCACAATTCTCCCAAGTGTCACAGGGTAATACTCAATATTAGTGATGCTTTGTTCCCCCCCCCAACATTTTGCATGCATGGACCAGTGTTGCATGCTGTTCTCATGGTTCAATGGCAGCTGAAGCTATTGCCCCTTTCCTGAGCATGGGGTGCAGAAGTGGCCTTTAAAAGCTCATCTCCCCTTCCAGCAAAACCCCAACATTCGCTTACTTCCACTATTTCTGAAATAAGCTTTATTAGTGGTTTTGTGGCATACCACGCTTCTCAGGGTAACATCATTCTAGTGCAGAAAGCTGCCCAACCACGTCTTCTAATAACCCAGCCCATGGCCGAGGTTAGAATTGCCTGGGAATGCGCCCTGGGTATCCTGTGGGATATAGCTGGCTACTCCTGAGCTGCAAGTGGAAGAGAACATCACCCCCAAGAGGCATTGCTCTGCTATTCCTTCCATCCTAGTGCTGCCACCATCCAAAGAGGTTGTTTACAGAGGATTCAGGAAACAGGGTCATAAATTTTCCCATATAAATCTTGCCCTCTGCTCCCCAATAAATGTTTTTTTCTGGACTGGAACTTACTTCCAGTGTATCTGGATTTCAGGAACATGGTTCTTGGAGGTGCTCTGTTATTTGCCAGTACACGCAAAGGGTGGAGCAATAACCATTTCTGCACTTGGAGAGATTGTGCTTCTGCTGGAAAAGAGATTAACTAAAGCTTTTGGGACTCGCAGTACAGAAACGCATTCATCCACCGCAATTGTTTTAATAATTTGCTCATAAAACTGTCCTGAACATTCTCTCTGTTACTTGATTTCTGCCTTCCCCACTTGCTATTCTGCTTTATATGCAGAGTTCTCCTGTACTCCTTACTGTAGAATTTGAGCCTCTTTTTGTCATGCATTGAACAACGTGACTCACAGCCATCGTGTGCTTCTCTCATTATTTCTCAGAAGCATGAAGAGAAGAGGCCTTGTTTTTAGTGAAGACTTTTCTTCTGCTGGTGGTAGAATGTTGTTTTCTGTTTTGTTTTGTTTCATGTCTTTTATGTTGGGCGTTTAAGCAGGAGAAAGCAGGAGCAAAAAGTGTCCTTGCAACTTATGTAGTGGGTGTGGGAGGTTTGTGACAAATCTAGTTTCTGAGAAAGTTTATTCACAGTCGTGAGTTGGTCTTCAGTGATGTTCTGCATCCCATACAGATGAATTTAGGAAGTTTTCTTGTGCTGTGCGTCAGGACATGAGGATAAGGACAAAACCCAGCATTTAGCCAAAAACTTTAAGGGAAACTGGTGTGCAGCAGTGTGGAGACAGGCTTGATGTGTTTCTGAACAGGACTGCAGTAACATTTTATACAGCTTGCAATTTCCTACACGTCACAGTACGTCATGCTTAGACAGGCCATATTGCTGTATTCCAGCCTAGAAGTCATGAATGTCCGAATAACAGATTGATTTCTCATCTGCCAGGATGAAGTGAGGTTTCCTGGCCTTGTGGAGGTAACAGGTAGCATGTTAGACATAACGTTATGGTGTGAGAGCCTTATGTGAGCCTGAAGCGAGTGTATTCCTGCTACAAACCAAGCTGACCTGCGTAACATGCCTGCCTTCGACAGCAGAGATTTTGGCTGACAGCCCTCCGCAATGCTTCCCGGATTTAAGGCTGTGGGGGTTCTGCTTTAGCCAAGTGTTTGAGTCCATACCACCAGCGAGGTGTAGTTATGGAGGAACCAGGGAGAGAACTGATCTCTGTGGAATTCCAAAAAGGCGGGCATTACACCAACAAGGAGGGTGACACAGCAAGAGTTTTGGACTGGGAGCTAAGACTTCTGGGGTTTCTTATTTATTTTTTGTCTGCTCTGACTCAGAAATCTGTCAAGCTGCTGCTTCTGGCTTCATTTTTCTCCATTTACAAAATAGAGTTACATCTGCTCAGCCCTCAGAAAGGATGCAAGGAAACATCCTGTGTACAAAGCACACGGATAGCTTCTGAGGCGATGGGACCACCTGATGATAGTCTCTGGCAGTGACAGCTCTGTTCTTAATGTTCCTCTTGTCCTCTAGGCATGCACACCGAGGCGACAGGCCCTGTCATCACCGTGACACAGTTCAACAGATGCCTCCCAAACTCCTGCTTCCCTGGAGTGGCCTGCACTGAGACCGGCACTGGCTTCCGCTGTGGACCCTGTCCCCCAGGATATTCAGGCAATGGGTCCCACTGCACAGATATCAATGAGGTAAAATCCAAGTAGGACAGGCTGGAAGTTACAAAACTGGCTCAGTTTTCTTGGAGCGTTGCAGGTTTGTCTTGTGGTTGTAAAGAAAAGTCTTGCAATTCCCCGCGGAGCTGAAGTTCAACAGAAACATCGTTCCACTGGATGGAAGTCTGTATCTCACCCTCCCTTAAGCTCTGTTCCATGTTGGTTTTATATCCAGTCTAGCTAGACATTTCTTTCTAAAAGATAAATAGGCTCAAACAAAATAAATCTTTTGGTTTGTACCACGCAGGAAGGTGAGTTTGGAAGACCAGAACAGTCCCTTTTGGTCTTACAATCTTTCGAGCTAATGGCTGATGAGTTGTTAGAGATAAGTTTTATTATGTGTGGAATAGAATCAAATGCTTCCCGAATAGCCCTTTGTACAATAAATCTTACCACACTACCTGTATTGCGCTACTTCTGCCTTTAAATCCAACCTTGCTAGGCAGATGCTGTTGGGTTTTTTTTCAGAAAGTGTGGCATTCCATCGAGTTTACTCTCTGTGTGTATGTAAAGCTTTACTCAACCATGTAAAGCTTTACTCAACCGTTAATTTTGAGTGTCCGTGAGACTCCTTAGTTGTGTGGTTCCCAAACCATAGTCCTATGCTCGCTGATCAGTCCACCAAGCAACTGTAAGTGTCTTGCAAAGCCGTATCACCTCTACAGCATTTCAGTTTAAAAACCTGCTGAAGTTGAGAGATTTTGAGGTTGATGATAATCTGTTAGTCACCAAAATGTGGGAACCACTGCATTAATGTGACGCATCTGCCAGAACAGAGCGTAAGACCTTAGTGAAAATAAGAAAGTGTTGGAGAAAATAAAGCATTAAGAGCACCTTTGGAAAGATTCCGAGTTGCTTCCCAGAGTAGTAAACAAACAACTGCTCTTGTCTTTCAAAACCAGTGTAAGAAATGATCCAGTTCTCTGGATTCAGAGACTGCCAGGAAAGAAAGTGTGAAGTGAAGCCAGCTCTTTGCATGGGCAATTGATGTCACCTAAGAAGAATTAGTCCTGAAAGTTGATTTGTTTTACTTGTCTGCACATACTGGGACTTGGGAGAACAACTGAGATGGGGAAGCTGCATTTTCCACTCACAAGGAAAGCCAGGAACTTCTATGCATTTTTTTTTTTTATTCTTTATAAATAAAAGTACAATAGCTGGATCTCACCCAGCAAGGCCTGCTTTGAGAGCTGCCTTCACAGCTGGCCTGGAGTGAGCCTGCCTCACAGCTCTGCACAACCTCTTTCTTGTTTACAGTGCAACGCAAACCCCTGCTTCCCGAAGGTCCAGTGCATTAACACCTCCCCTGGCTTCCGCTGTGATCCCTGCCCTCCCGGCTTCACTGGACAAATGGTCGAAGGAGTTGGACTGGCTTATGCCAGGGCCAACAAACAGGTAAG